AAACGTCATTGTGAACAGCAGTGGTTTCAAGGCACGACCACCGAGCCTCTAGAGCTAGTGACACAATGCTCTAGTTGTGCAGTGGTCGTGCCTTGAAACCACAAAGGAAATGCCATACATACAGAGGTTTTTTTTTAAATATATGCAGTTTAATTATTGCTATTTTTTATTGTTTATGATAGAAATCGTTATATGCGATGAATAACTTTTGAAATTTACAGTTGTTTATATAAAAGGAAGTTGTCTCGTTGAAAACGAATTTTAAAAGCTATCTGATTTGAAGTACTAAGACCTAAAACATGTATGATTCTACAGTCATTTTGTGTTATTTAGAGGTGAAAGATCACTAATCAATTGATTTTCACTCAAAAATTTTGGAACGAAGAGGAGAAAAAAAATTCGAAAATTTGTGGTTTCACGGCGCGATCACCGCTCGTCGAAGGGTTGAACAATAAATCACTATACACTATAAATTTCTTTAGCTATAAAATGATAGGCTTTGCTGATTATTTTTTATTTTGCCTACATTATTGGTGCATAATGCAATCGCTCCGCGTGTACCAACCATTCTGCTATATAAATTTAATAATATTTGTTATAAAATTAATTTTCAGTCACATACAAATTTACACTTGGCTTAAATTAATGCAAAAAAAAAAAAAAAAAGGCAGGGGGAACGTTGCGGCGCGCAACGAACAGGAAGTTGATCTGTCAGCACTATCGTTATCTTCAGGGCAGATGTTTTTATTTTATTCGGCTTATAAATCAAATTCCTCATCATTATAAATATCACGAATACAAATCAAATAGTTTTCTGGTTGCAATTTTCTAATTTCGGTTATGCATAATGTATGCTTTACGCATTCGCACGTTGAAAGAAATGTGTAATAAAGTAAACAAATAAATATTAAGCCTTTTTTTTTTGTAAATTTTGATACCCTTTAGATCATAATTGCTCATTATTTTATAAATTACGGTTTCATATTTTTAATTTTATAATTTCTGCATGCTATCTTACCAGATTTAAACTGATGATCTATAATCCAGAAAAATCGATAATCTGGAATCGCCGAAGTCCCGACGAGTCCGGATTAAAGACTTTTGACTGTATTGCAAAAATATATTTACAACTGTTTAGCTACTGATATAAGTTAAAGCAGAATGAAAATTAAGAACTTGAATACATTAATTCAGTTGTAAAAGTTTGAGTTATGATCTGAACTTATTGGTAAGGGGGACTGTATAATAACAAATATGCTTTCAAAATTTTTGTTTATGCTTTACATTTTGATTCTTAGAAATATTCAGAATCCAATATTCAGAGTGATCTAATAGCCAGACCACCAGTAATTTTTTTTCTTTCAAAGTCTAGGAATGGAGTATATACTAATATTCTAGAAAAAAGCTGGTCTATCTTAAAAGTAATTTTTCTCTGAACTAACTCAGATTCCTGCTGCTTATCACTCTCAAACACCTGTTGGCTAGGAAATCGCATCATTTCAAATGACGGTCCATAGATTAGTGTTAGCCACGACCAGCTGTTGAGTATCTTTGGAAAGTGCTTTGCAAAACCTGACTTGATTGAATGAAGATCAAGGTTACATGAAACCAAAGTGAAGTTCTTATTAGAGCCTTTAATAAGGAGGAGCAATGCAGTCTGCCATTTTTAAGCTAAGCAGCTCCTCATTTCCACGGGGCTTGGTATCGGGCACCCCTCTGTAATTTTTTTTAGCACATCTTTTGCTTATTGTAATAGAGCTTAGATAAACTGTTATATAATGATAATTTAGAATAAAAAAGATTAAATTTTTTTAAGAACACAGCTTCAATTTTTACAAAACCTAAATTTGCACTCTTTGTATTTCAAAAAAGAAATTAAGATGTCAAACTATTACTACACCTGCTTTTATATCTAAGTTCCAATCACTAACTTACTTGAAGTGAGTTGTGTTCACTATGTTTTGCATATTTAGCAATTTTCATTTAAATTTTCATTCAAAATTTAGCAAAATTCAATGATGCATATTATGGAATTTGCAAAAGATGTAACAATTAGCACAATTCTACAGCTTATAAACTTCAAAATGATGTGTATCTGCCATTCTTTTATAGAGGCTCAAGTTGTTATGAATGTGTTGTGATGTCAAGTTAATCATTACAGTAAATAAACTGGGTGGGGGATATTATCAGAAGTGGTTGACAGCAAAATATGTAGGGACCTTTTCCAGTTAATAGAAATTTTTGAAGAAATGTGGAGAAGTGGTAATAAATAAAAATGATGTAACAAAAGTTCTCCATTGCAGTGACGGTGCCTCAAGTGTCAGTCAACTAACCGATGGTGAAAACTGCTATATAGTATAAAATTGAAAATATTGCTGCTGATAATGAACGGGAAGAGGTTTTTGAGAAAGAAAAGATTTCGATTGGCAATGTAGTGGGAATTCTGACTATAGCAGTTTCAGCACTTGAAGAGTGGAACATTATAATTGAGCAAGAAATTTTGCCTGTTAGACAGGAAGTACAAAAGTGAATTAGCACAAAAATGAAATAACAAATTTATAGTAAACAAAATATTTCAGAAAACAAATAAATAAAGAAGAGTTTTTTGTAAATTTTGATTCTGTAGTCATACATTCTATGAATAAAATTGCACCAAGGTGAATTTTCAAATTACTTTTTAAATTTGATTTTCAGCCATAATTTGAGTAGCAAAATTGAAATAGAGGAGGAAAAAATGGCTTGCCATTTAAAAAAAAGTACATGTAGACTGATGTTATACAATGTAGATATATATCCTAAGTTGCACTTTTGAGACATGAGAAACTAAAGTTGAATTTCATCAATCAGCCAAGTAGACTGGGAGATGTAGAACTGTCCCCTTTTTTTCTCTAGTGAGTGGGCATGCAAGTGTTTGTGCAATGAAGTAAGCTTGTATAATTCACCTTCATAGACATGAAAGTTATGTGATGCAAAAAAGAAAAGCTGTGTATTTAAATAAACAGGAAAACGTCAGAAATTTTGTATCATAGTTATAAATATTCAGTGTATAGTTTTAATATATTATATAATTAAAATTTAAATAAGTGACATTTAATTTAAGTATATATTATTTATTATATAATTCACTTTCACAGACAGTAAAATTACACAATGTAAAAAAGAAAAGCACTGTTTTTATATAAATGGGATAAGAGGTGGAAAGTTTGTTTCATAGTTTTAAATATTCGTCGTAGAATTTAATGTATTTATGTAATTAAAATCTAAATAAGTGACATTCCATTCAAGTATATATTATTAATAAATTTGTAGTTATTTAGAACAGGCACAGAAATTTGAAATGAATAAAAAATTACATACCTTAGGGGGATCATTAATTGTGATCATTTTTCTTTCAGTTACAGAGACTAGACAGCTTTATTATTATTATTAAATTATTAGTATGATAAAATGTTCAGCAGTTCTGGATATTGTGAATAAAAATCTCTTTGAAAAGATATGATAGAAAAATAGGTAAGAAAAATGGGGTACTAAAAGTGTGTATAAGCTCCATGTTTGCATCGGTATATGTTATAGATGGGCAACCAGCTCTGGCATTGTCTTGCACTAAATCTCTGCCTTCATGAAACCTTTTGTGCCAATCGAAAACATGACTTCTTCTTGAAAGTGCCTTGCCTGCATGTGCTTGCTTAATCATGTTCCACATTTCACAAGGAGATATCCTGAGGTTAACGCAGAACTTAATGTTCACTCTGCTCACAATCAGCAACCATTGTGTCACCTTAAAAAATGCAACAACAATCTGAACAGTATGTTGCTAAGCACGGCCCTGCCCCTAGTAAGTGTGCGTGGGAACATGGCCAAGGTCATGTCGAGTAAGAATATTTACTAGGTCACATTAAAAAAATTGTTTTTTAGTACTGCCGACTCAAAAATAAAATAAAATAAAAATAAAAAAATAAGTCCTGGAACTTTTCTGACAAAGGATGTAAGTAATGCAAATAATAATGTAAATCTATATAATAAGTAATATAAATAAATTATATATATATATATATATATATATAAATCCTTTTTCAATGACAGAATTATTTTATGCATTATATTGAATGTGAATTTTGTTTCTGTAACGAAAATCAAACATTATAGGATCTTACCCTTTTAGGCCACATAAACTCTTCTAGATCCTATTAAGAAACCTGATGACTTCTCACACAGGCTTGAAAAAATATCAGCTCAGAAGAAGGTGAAAATAACCCTTTATTATTTTCAACCATGAACAGAAAGGCACGTACTTCGTGCTTTACAATAACACTGACAACTTGTGGTGGATCTTAAGAATCTTTATACAATAAATTCAAGCCTAAAAAAGAGTAGTGCTGGATTAGCACCTTCAAGTTAAGGCTAACTAGGTTGACTCAACAACCTACCTGGTGTGATGATTATTAAAATGGCCAAAGGCATAACAGCAAGGTCAGAAATATAATGCGCGCTGGCTAGCGAAAACATGCTCGGAATAAAATCCGAGATTCACCCGTTTAAATAATCTTAACTTTAAATTTTCATCTTAGTGAGGAAATGTGAGCGGAAGTTGAGGAGTTCAGGAAAGATAACAAAAACTTGAACTAAGGGAAACCCTACAACATATTTACTTGTGCATTTCTCAAGCTTTTTCTACTAGTTTTGCCTCTTGAAATTAACTATATACCGTTTTTGACAAGATGCCTTAAATGAAGAGCAAAGTGCAGAAGCGCATAATTAAGATATGTTGCTGTTTTATGTATTTTAAAGTTTTTAATTTTAATAATATTCTTTTTACTAAGTGGCATACTTTCCTACTGAGCCTAAATTTTATGTTGTAACCATAAATTGAAATTACTTTCGTACGAATTGTGTTAAGAATATTTTAGTGGTTTTATATCTTAATTGCTTTCTTTAAAGATTTTTAATTTAGGAGCATGTCCGATTTGATTATATTTCCTAACAGTTTTATTATTTTGTAGATATTTATCTCTTGGTCTTCTAAATTTTGCCTTCATAGTGCAGTATGAATAAATTATTTTCCTTCTTCCCAGTATCTCTGCTAAAATGTAAAAATTGAAGGAGATAAACTGGTGAGCTAATCTATTTATTATGTTTTTAATTAGTTAGTTATTTGTGTTTTTAATTAGTTAGTTAGTTGCGTTTTTAATTAGTTAGATATTTATCTGGTGTTTGTGCATTTTATATTTTAAAAGTATGATTTTGAATTCTTTAATGAAATTATTAAATCTTGCACGTAATCAGCTTTTTAATCATATTAAGATCACTTATTCTTGTAACTTGAAGTTTTGTATGATGGAGGATAATACCAAATATGTCAGAAACTCAAAAGTTTTGTATTTGTTGTGTAATTTTTTGCTATGTTTAGCCTTAGCATTTAAAAAAGCATTTTTTTGGGGGGGATCTCTTGAACATTAGCCATTTTGTTGCCTTAAATTTATTCATTAAGCTGGTTCTCAGAAAGAGTGTTTGCAGTGTACTATGAGCACCATTTAGCATTTAACAAAATATTATCTGACACTGTTGGTGGTATTAAGTATTCAACCAGTATCACCTCAAGCAGTATCGTAGGGACCTTTAAATGTTTGACATTTAATATAAGTGAACATTCTAAGACAACTACTCACTGTTCCACATTGATTTTAAAAGAATTTAAATAGAAGTGTAATATATTGGGTTTTTAATGCTGTTCTCTTAACAGAATTATGAATCATTACAAAGATGTTTAGCAAATGATATTGTCCTTCCTAAAAATAGACAAATATTTAATGTTTTACTAGAAAAAAAATAACATTTTAAGATGTAGAAAACAGACCTTGAATATAAATAAAAAAAATTACACACGCACACACACATACACACACACACACACACACAAACCTTTATTGTGCATTTTTTTAAAGGAATTTCAGAGATGCTTCCTGCTAATTAAGATCTTCATCTAATAGAGTGTGCATGCTTGATTTTCCCTTTGGATTAAGATATTCTTTTTTAAAACTTCTAACTTTGTAAAATATCGGGAAACCCCAGTTAATAAAAATTAATTTGTTCCTGAAAGCTGCTCAGTGAGTGAAATGTTTGTAAATTGAAACATATTTCCCCATAGGAATTAATGTAAGATGGATTAATTTGTTCCTGGACCATTGATCTTGATTGTGTATTTTTTCCCCATAAAATGTTAGGTAACTGTTTTCAAGAGGTCTCTTTTATGTTTTCTTTGTCGCTAAGTTCTACTTGACTGTGCTTGTGACTAACTGAGCCTCTGTTTTACTCAAAATGCATCTGATGTGATTTGTTGTGTTTAAAATGTTTTTAAAACCATTACCATTAAAAATGCTTATGCTGTAATATGCAACTGTTTTATCAGGGTGACATTGTTGCGTGAAATCTTTGCACTTTACTCCATTTTGCAAAAAATTCATGAATCATTTTCTATTCTTTCTTCTAAAGACATTTCGTCATCAGTCACCTTTTGCTACTGTTTCTGAAATTGTAAGGCCCATATCACACGACGTTTGTTTCACTCGAACAACTGTTTCGGACAATTTTTTTCACTAGTTTACTATTGAAAGAAAGACGTGCAACTTTTCCCTTCCTTTCCAAAAAAATTGCAAGTTGTTCGTTTTCAACCAATCAGCTACCAGCTTCGAATACTATCAGCTTGTTTGTAATGGGGAACCAGTTTACCCTGTGTTAAACCCAAAGCGATCTATGATTCCAAACAGTTGTTCTTCCGAAACAAATTGCCGTCTGATAGCAGCGTAATAGTGCTTTTTTTTAGCTCATTTTTAAGGTCCTGTAATTACTTCTCTGCATCTTCATTTTTAACTTCATAGTACATGGTTTTGTCTAGAAACCAGTATTTAATTTTTAAAATGAAAAGGCTTAAGATTTTAACAGTCAGCAAAAAGGGCTTACTAAGTTTTTTTAATGGTTTCACTGAGTTCGCAGTCTACCAGTCTGATATTTTTAGGAAATTCATGATATTTTTAGGAACTTTGAAATTTCAGAGCCAAATCTGTAAAGCTAAGATGGCTGAGTATTAGTTTCTTCACTCTAAATGCCATATGCAATTCAACAGCAAAATTACAAAAATTTCAAAAAGCAGCATAGCAGCTTATGTTTAGAATTCCTGATGCAAAGTTGAGCATTGGCATACATTTTTTCTATTTTTTCAGTCTTTTTCTCAGTTCATCATATCAATGCTCAGTTTTCTTAGTAAGATGGTTTGTAAACCTTTTTTTTTTGTTTTTATTATTAATATTTCACATGCTTAATATATTAATTAAATATCATGGTCCCTGTACTTATGCCACATAAAATTCAATTAAACAGCAAAATCAGAAAATATTTAAAAACAGCGTATCTTTAGTCTTTCGCACTGAAGATAGTAACATTTTATTCCAGTTGTGATGCCACTGCTCGCTTTCAGATGTTTGTTAATCAAAAATTCATTAAAGTGTTATGAAATACGAAATTAAAAATTTGCGGTTCCAGTGCACATATTTGGGTGGAGGACTATGTTATTCCAAATTTGACGGCCCTAGGTAGTGTTTTTTTCACATGCAAGGAACATGCATACATATATGCAGATTTCCCATTATTTAATTTCTTAAAAATATTTAGTGGCAACAATTTGAAAAGTGATACAGCCGTTTATAGTGGACAATGGAAAATCCCGTTACAAGACTAATAGCCCATTTGGGCGAACGGCCTTTCTAAGTGAAAACAGCAAAGTGATTAATAATTAAAACAAAGTAAATAATACTTAAATAAGATATTTAGTAATTAAAGTAAATAATAAAACTAAAATTTAATACAGGTAAATAATAAATTAATAATTAAAGTGATGGTAAGTAGTTACATAATAAAATAAACTAAGAGACCTTGTCTTATTTAAGGCTTTGGCTGGAATTACAGTTTCACTCAAAACTAAGAAAAGTTATCCGAGGCATTTTTTGTTTAGTTAATTTGTTCGTGAACTGATTAAACAAGGTGTATGTGATCCGAGGTTAAATTATGAATAACTCTGATATTACTGTCCATGTTATCTTATTTTTTGCTATTTTGCTCTCTAAATGACCAAAGTAGTATGAGGAGTGTTTATTTAAGTAAGGCCGTTTGAAAATAAAAACTAAACAAAAGAAAATTCTCAAAAAACAAATTTACTTTCAGATTGAATTATTTTAAGATTTTCAGTTTCAACATAGTTGCCAAGTTTGTTTAAACACTTATCATACCCTTAGAACTAGATTTTGAATACCCTTTTCATAGAAACTTACCACATGCTCTAATAAGCAAGAGCTCATGGCTGTTTTCACGTCTTCGTCATCGTTGTAGTGGTTGCTGCCGAGATGATATTTTTGATAGTGGAGAAGTTGAAAATGTCTTGGAAAGGTCTGGGCTGTAGGGGAGGGTTGATTCAAAACTTCCCAGCCACGAGTCCAATAAAGTTCGGGTCTGAACTTGTGAGGCCTTGCAGTGTCATGGATTAGCCAAATTCCCTCTTGACAGCATGCCATGTCTTTTGTTTTGAATAGCTCAGCATAAATTTTGCAGGGTATGGCTGTAGGCTATCATATTTATGGTGGTTCTGTTTTGCATGAAGACAACCAACAAAACACCATGTATATCCCAAAACATGGATGCCATGATCTTGCATTGGGACAGAATCTGTTCATCCTTGACTGTTACAGGAGAGTGTGCATGTCTCCACTCCATGTTGTATTGCTTCCATTCAGGCATGACATGTGAAACCCACTTTTCCTTTCCTGTTACAATCCGATTCAACATGGCGTCATCTTCTTCTTTGTAATGAGTCAAAAATTCTGCAAACACTCAAATCTTTTGTTTTTGTGGCCCTCCATTAGGAGTTGAGCGACCCAGCGGGAGCTAGGTTTCTTAAACCTTAACTCTTCAGAAACAATATCATGTAGCACTGACCTAGACACGTCAGGAAATTTGTTTGAAAGAGTGCTTATGGTAAAGCATCTGTTCTAAAAAATTTTTGCTTCAACTGAAGCAATCAAATTGTCTGATCGTAGATGGGCAACTGGAGTGGGACTCATCATGAATGGTTGTTTTCGCATCCAGCTTTGTAGTCTCTCATCCACTTACGAACTTTGCCTTCACTCTTGGCAGTAGCTCCGTAAACTTCACAGATGTGCCGGTGAATGTCTGCATGTTTCTAATTTTAATGCCATTTATTTTTGCATCTTTATATAAGATTAATCATGTAAGATAAAAAAATCAATAAAATAATAGTATAATAAGTATAATAAGTATAATAGTATAATAAGTAACTAAACTAATATAATTCAGGCTTAATTGTCTCAGTGCAGGTTAGAAGCAAGATAAAATTTAACGGAACAACTTGTCGTTAGTCGCCAAGCTCATGATTCATAACCAAATATGTATATGAAGGATAGCTAAATTTGATGATGATAGCCAATTTTAAATGGTTTCGGATATCGTAAAACAAAGGTGAAATTTGCCAATGCAATGAACAGATTTTTTAAAGAAATGTGGAGAAGCGGTAATAAATGAAGATGGTATAAAAGAAGCGTTTCATTGTGATGACAATGATTCTCAGTTATCAATCAATTAATGAATGGTGAAATCTGTAGTATGGTTCTAGATCCAGAAATACAGCCGATAGTGAAGCCACCGATAGTGAAGAAAGTGACAAAGAAGTTACTGAAAACGAGAAAATTTCAATTGACAAGTCAGTCGGAATTCTCGAAACAGCAGTTAAAGGACTCAACAATGTAATTGAACAAGAGATTACGTTTGTCTACAGAATTAAAGAGAAAGTATTAGCACAAACAACGAAGCAACTTTACCAACTTACATTGAAAGAAATGTTTAATAAGGTAAACAAATAAATATTAAGCTTATTTTTTGTAAATTTTGATACCCTTTAGATCATAAATACTTCATTATTTCATAAATTACAATTTCGTATTTTAATTTTATAATTTGTACATGCCATTTTACTAGATTTAAACAGGTGATCTAATATCTGGAAAAATTATAAGTCCCAACAAGTCCGGATTTCAGACTTTGTACTGTAGTCTTTGTTTTTGAACTTTCAGTACCAAACCTTCACAGTGTCATATGATATGGAAATAGTACCTAAAATTGTTCACATGATTTGGTGACATTGTGTAGCTAACTTTTTGCAATAGAACTGGAAGTAAATGGTAGTTCTAATCTGGTAGCGTGATAGTTCCATTTCAGACACTAACATCCAACTCCTTAGCAAACTCTTGAGTGGTTGCATACTGATGTTTTCCCACAAGTTCTCTCAGGTGGGCATCATCAACTTCAGTAGGCCGGCCAGAGCACTGTGGTTCTTGAATGTCATAGTCATTGTTTTTGAACTTTCAGTAGCAAACTTTCACAGTGTCATATGATACGGCCTTAGTACCTAAAGCTGTGCACATGATTTGGTGACATTGTGTAGCTGACTTTTTGCAACAGAACTGGAAGTAAACTGTAGTTCTAATCTGGTAGCGTCATAGTTCCATTTTAGACACCTTGTACTTAATGATAATATTCTTTTACAAGTTTCACAACACAGTGTTCTAAAGCAAGTCTCTTTTTTTCAAATGCAAAAAATCTTTCGACAAAATATGATTAAATATGCCAACTTGAATGGTTTGTGCAGACGACATTTATTGTGGCAGGAACTTTCATTAAAATCTGAAATATTTTTCTATAAGAATTTTTGAATGGAAAAGATTGAGATGGTGCAATAGTTGAGTGATTTTCTTACTTGTTAGATCGATTTAAAAAGTACATAGTGAATTGTCAAATTTTTGGTCTTGATTAGTTTTTACCAAGTTAAATATCTGTATAACAGTTAAAGTGTTGAGGTGGAAAAAATGTTAAGAATCCTTGTTTGAACCTTTATACTTAATCTGTTAATTTTTGTTTTCACTTAAAATATTGCTATCTTCGAGACAGTGCATAAGTTACTTTGCTTAAACTGAGTTCCTGATGTAAAATTTTCCTCTTTTAGTAGTAAAGATTATGAAGATTATACATTTGAATGTTTTTTTTATCTGCTTTAAAACAATCTTCCTTGCTTTTAGTATTACTTCAATATTTATGGATAAACTATATTTTTGTTTTCAAATCAAGTTTTTCTTTCTTTTTTTTTTGCTCACATACTGTATATATGTTTATTTTCAAAGATGAATTTCCCCCTCCTTCTAGATGGTGCAAGTTCTAGAATATGACAGATGTACTCTCTTCCAGTTGACACACAGCAGTTCAGTGTGCAGCCTTCATTGTCATGTCTCGCTATTGAGAAACCTGCACAAGAGGGATCTTCGTGGCATTTTTATCTCCAAATGATTAAATTACTAATATTGAAAGCAACACATCGACTTTGGTACGAATAACTTGCTTTCTAATTTATATAGCTATATTTTATGCCATCTTTTGTAATGGGAAACGTCGGTGAAATATATTTCTGAAGTATGTAATTTTTAAAATCATCTGTGCACTTAATGGTTACTATGTTGGAATATTAGTCTTCTGCTTTAAATTAAAATTTGTTCTAAAATTTGGAATAGCTGGGTTGTTCACATTGTGTTAGGTAATTTTTATGTATATATCCTGCGATTGCATTAGAAAAAATTTGAGCATCTTCAAAATGTAATGTAATTTAGCTAATAGGTGAAAAGTGTCTTGAATAAGAAATTCTTTTCTGATATATTTATTGTAGACGCTCAAAGTGTAGTTTATGCCCTTGGCATTCATATACAGCGTGTTTCATAGATCATGGGACAAACTTGGAGGGGTGGTGGATGTTGGCAGTGGTGATAAAGGCAAAGCATGTTTTGCTTCCCTTAAATAAAGCTAAGACTAAACTAAATAAAATTCTTGCTTTATTCCGTAAAATAAAATAAAAAAGCTAACACTGTAGCCTTTACATTTAAAATCATTTAGTGAAAGCAAACTAGCATAAAGCTAACTGATAATCACACAAGAGAACAAGAAACAAGAAGATTCGCCGATACCGGCATACATATTATATATTATACTCGGCCAACCCGCCGATCTTGACGTCATTGGCCAATCAGCGGCAACCACGTTAGCTTACCGCCGACGACCTCCGATCAAAATTTGCATGTGGAAAACTAAAGCCAACAGTGGAAAGTACTCAAACATGCATTTTTTGCATTTTTTGTATAGGAATGTAGGGTCTAAAGTGACAGGTTAAGGCAGGAACGCAAAAAAAAAAAAAAAAAAAACAACACAAGAGGAAAATATGTTTATGTACAAAATCAACGTAAAGAGCTTCTTTGCAGCAATACAGTATTTACAATAAATGTTCAAAAAAGAGAACACTAACATTAATAGGAAGTACAGCTGTGATTGGCTGGCAATGCAGCGGTAGAGGGCTGTAGTGAGCCGGACAAACCACGATCCGATGCATCAGAGGATCATTCATGTCATCAATGGTGTGATGGGCGAGTTAACGCAAAGGGAAAAAGCTGAGATGCATCTCATGTATGGTGCTGCTAATGAGAACGGTAGAGCAGTGCTATAGTTGTACCAAGAATGGTTTCCAAACAGGCATATGCCGAAGCACACAATGTTTGAGAGGTTGCACCGGTCTCTGTGTGAAAACGGGTCATTTGAAGCCACCTCTGACACTAGGAGTGGAAGTAGAAGTGCACGGCAACCTCGCATTGAAGAATCCATCTTGAACATTGTGCATTAATCACCTCAGACAAGTACAAAAGCTGTTGCATGTCGTCTGCAGCTGAGTCATTCCACTATTTGGAGAGTATTGCATGAAAATGGTTTGTACCCATACCATTTGCAGAGAATCCAAGCCTTGCAAGAGGCAGATTACCCTCTTCAAGTTCATTTCTGTCGTTGTTTCTTGCAGCAGTGTGCGGTGCAGGCAGATTTCCCATCGGATGTGCTATTCACGGGCAAGGCAACTTTCTCACAGGACGGCATCTTAAATGCACGTGTGGGCGACTCATAATCCACACGGCACACGTCCACATGCATTCCAAACCCGCTTCTCCGGGAATGTGTGGGCGGTTATTGTTAACGACTACCTCATAGACTCATACCTCTTACCTGCACGTACAAATGAGGTATGTTATATTTTTCTGTAAGAGGTGCTACCGGAATTGCTGCAGGATGTTCTGGCTGTCGTTCGTGATCGCATGTGGTTCCAGCATGTTGGTGCACCAGCCCATAACCACGTATGGGTCCGCAATTACTTGGATTTGACATTTCCGGGCTGATGGATTGGACCTGTTCGATGGCCACCCTGTTCTCCATATTTATCCAGCTTGGCTTTTTTTTATGGGACCATCTGAAGAGCATCATTTACGAGACTCCCGTTGACTCGCTGGAGGACCTCGTTTGCGCGACTATCCATTGTGACTGGAAGCGTGCGCGAAACGCCTGTCATTTTTCAAAATGTTCGTCAATCCCTTGTGCAACGTTACCAAGCATGTATTACTGCTGGTGGTCATGCTTTTGAACATTTATTGTGAATACTGTATTGCTACAAAGAAGCACTTTGCATTGATTTTGTACATAAACACATTTTTCTCTCGTGTCGTTTTTTTTGCTTTCCCGCCTTAACCCGTCACTTTAGACCCTACATTCCTATAAAAAAAAATGCATGTTTTAGTATGCTCCACCACCCCTCCAATTTTGTCCCATGATCTATGAAACACCCTGTATACTGCAAAATGAAAGAATTACAAATAGTCTTGAGAGATGTGCACATAGCCTTTGAAAACACTTATTAGTTTGAATTTCCAATCACTTTTAACCAAATTATGATGGCAAGTTGCATAAACATAAGCAAATAACTGTGGTTGTATTTGAAACTAAATCGGGTGGTGGCCAAGAATTTATCAAAAAATACATGAAATGCCATTATGGAAAACTTCTGGTACACAATTGCGTATTAAGTGCAAAATAACAAACAGGCCTATAAAGTACTAACACTCATGAGTAAGATCATAAGAACAAAAAATGTTTAAGTACATGACAGTTTTAGATGGGCTAGTTATGATTGCTGTCTTGCCAAACTGCTAAGAGTGTTTCACAAATTCTGTTCTATTACCAAAATGCCTCTTTATCCTGTCAAGATTGTGGGAGAATATGAAATCTTTTTGTTACATCTCGTGCATAAATTTTGTGAAATTTTAAGTTCTGAGATCTGGACGAATTTTGTCTTCACTTTCAGGTTATTCATTGAGCGATCCAGATTATTGTCTATTAACAAACATTTCTGGGGATTCCCCTTAAAAGTTTAAAGTTCTTAGAAATCAGTTTTTTATCTTTGAATACATAGGTAACATTCAAAATGTGGCAAAAGGTGTATGCATATCCATTATTGTGCTACCACATACCATGTATTCACTTCTGCAACAATGATTAACAGGGTTCGTAGTTCGTGTACACTGTGGCAAAAAAAGGGGGGGGGACAGTTCTATATCTCTCGTTCTACTGGGCCGATTGACAAAATTCAAATTGCATTTTTAATGTCTCGAAAGCTTGACTTGAGATATATATAAGATTTATATATAGCTTTGTTCTAACAATATTTGGACACAAAATAGTACTTTTTCTGAAATAACATATCAATTTTTTCCATATTTCGATTCTATGACTCACATTAAGCCTAGATATTAAATTTTGTAAAATTTGGTGCGAAATTTATGGAGAAATTCAAAATTTTATCTTGGCAAAATTTTTTTAGTTTGTGTCAAGAATTCAGTTCGCCACTTGGCGAACTTCTTAATATGTGGCAACCAATTTTCCTTCCCCTTCCATTATGCTGGAGCGGAAAAAAAGGCATTTCGTTCCTACCTTTTTACATTGAGCATAAGTGGAAAAAAAAAGCCACATTGTTTCTACTTCCAAATAATTTTAGCAAAGTATCTAAACCACATTTGATGTTTTATCGCTTTCAACAAATATGCCAAATTTCAAAACGGGCCAATATATAAATTCACGTATATCTTCGGAAATTTTGAATAAAATGTAATCTTGCAGGTATGCTTAGAAATACGTCTACTTTAAGATGATGGTAAAATTTTTATAGATTACAATTCAAAAATGTTTTTGAAAAATTTATAAAGATAATTTAAAAATACAAATTTAAAAATAAATCACAAAAATGGGGGAATTTTATTTGGAATGAACCTAAATTTCGAAACGTGAAAGATTGATAAATATATACCAAATTCAATTAACATTGAGGATCTAAAATTTTGAGAGCTAATTTTTACAAAACTTGATATTTTGGTAGAAATTGAATTGTAGAATTGAAATATGGAAAAAAATTGGTATTTTATTTCAGAAAAAGTCTGATATTGTGTCAAAATACACAAATTTGAGTGTATAAAACAATGCTATATATAAGTCTAATACATATCCTAAGTCGTACTTTTGAGACATGAAAAACGCAAGTTGAATTTTGTCAGTCGGCCAAGTAGAACAAGAGATATAGGAACTGTCCCATTTTTTTTGCACAGTGTACATATGTTTTTTGCATAGCAATGTATAGACGCTCAAATTTGTGTTATTTTTCTATCAGTGTACATATATAATAATTTAGGAGGTGAGAGAAGAGGTGACTATTTCAGTTATGGCTGATGGTGTAAATGCCTCTGGCATATCAGTGCGTAATTGCATTCAGGTACATCTGTTGCGACATTTCGACATGCTGTGTTTCTGGACAAAATAACTGTTTAAAAACATTCTGATTCAGGCATCATTATATGTGCAAACAACACCCATTCCCATCATATCTTACAGGTTTTGTACATCCCTATTAGAGAGGAAAGCTGCAAAACTTTGATTCAAAGGAAGCAAAAGCTGGAAAGTGTGACACAGTCAAAAGAGCATCTGTGAAAGAGTCAAAACTCAAAAGTTGTTAATACCCAAAAGAGTTTTTATTTTGATTGAAGTCTTATTTACTGATAGTTTAAGACATACCTGCGCTTAGTAATGTTATGTGAGATTGTATGATATGGATTAATTAGAAATGATGTGGATGTATTCTAAGCAGTTACTATTGTAGCGATTTTAGCTGTAGCAATTTTTATTGGTAGCGTAATTAAAAATAAGGTAAGTGTTAAATTTCACAAATTGAATTTTAAGGTAAGTTCAACTGCTTATCATAACAAAGTAGTTTGCTTAGCAAAGTAGTCCATTTCCAATAGGAAACGATAATCACTTGAGTTCAAACAGAGGTAGCAGAGAAAAAGTCCGGCTACGCTTCTTTGAGGGTTTCTTTTTTCGCTCTTGACAGAGCTTAGTAGTGACTCGGGACGAGCCGTAAAATACACAAGAGAGAAAGGGGCTCTCTAAAGCTTACTAGCGACTCGGGAAGAGCCGTAA